ATATATATATATATATATATATATATATATATATTTATATATATATGTATATATATATGTATATATATATATATATATATATATATATATATATATATATATATATATATATATATATATATATATATATATATATTTATATATATATTATATATATATATATATATATATATATATATATATATATATATATATATATATATATATATATATATATATATATATATTTATGTATATGTATATATATTTATATATTTATATGTGTGTGTGTTTTTCTTAGTATCATATACTTTTCTGTTCCTTGTGGCCAGAGGTGCTAGAAGACCCCTCCTTGATAGCAAGACTAGCAGACACGAAAGCTGCTGGGGAGACGAAAGCCTTACAACAGTTCATGACCCTTTTCGGAACCAACCCAGACCGCGCTTACTACGGAATCAAGCATGTGGAGAAGGCCAACAATGCACAGGCGATTGAGACCTTGCTTGTGTCGGATACGCTTTTCAGGTACGGGGGCCAAGGAAGTTTTTTCTTCTTCTTCTTCTTCTTCTTCTACTTTTTTCTTTTCTTTTTTTTTCTTGTTTTTTTTTTTTTTTCTCTTCTTTTGTCTTTCATCTGTGTTGCAGATCTTTTTCACTTGAATTTCAATTTTGAGAATCCTTAATGACCTTGGAAATGAGATGCAGCTTAGCTTAGCAGTTTTAAGAGTTAGGTGATATGTCTGGGTTTTGTATCAAATTGGATCTCAACTTCTAACCTCAAAATGAAATCTATTTCTAATTTAAACTGTCACCTCATAAAGTTGTCTTTTTAAATGTTGTTATTATTGTTCATTATGTTACTGTTATCATTACTACTACTATCATTATTATTATTATTATTATTGTTGTTATTGTTATTGTCATTATTATTGTTACTGTTATTTTTTTATTGTTATTTTTATTACTATTGTTGTCATCATGATCATTATCGTCAATGTTATCATCACTATTGTTTTTCATTCATTCATCCATTCCTTCTGAGTAGTTCTGTAGCTTTCATTCAAGATGAAACTCTTTCCAGGTCAAAAGACTTGGATGAGAGGCGCAGGTACATCCGGCTGGTGGATGACGTCAAAGACAACGGAGGCGACGTCAAAATTTTCTCCAGCTTACATGTGTCAGGGGAACGTAAGTGACTATTGTTTAATTTACACAGTGTGTTGTGTTTGCATGTTTATGATCAGCTGTATCGTGTCTGTTTATATTCATATATGTACTGTATAGGATACGTATGTATAAGTGATATATTGGTCAGTGCTTCAACAGGTACAGATAGTCCCCTACTTAAGAACATTCCATACATACAAACAAAATTTTTTAAGTGCTAAAGTCCAAAAAATTGTTTGAAAGATGCTAGCAAACTTCAAATTTCCCGGGCACAAATATAGTTCAAGAGTGTGGTACTGTGTAAGGTACTTATTGGGATTTATTTACAGGTATTCTTAATGTAAACAAAACTCTAAAACAATGGGAAAAAAAGGTAATGGAGACCCAACTTTTGGCATACAAACAAATCAACTTACAAACAGCCTCTCGGTCCCCATTATGTTCTGAAGTTGGGGACTTACTGTATTGGGTAAAGGAATGTCTTCACTCATTATTCTGCTCGTTAATGCAAATGATTCAGTCCCAGGCTCTTGTTCCAGAACTAGACCAGATGAGCGGTGTGGCTGCCATCCTCCGTTTCCCATGCCCGAAATCGAGGAAGAGGACCAAGCGGAAGAGTCAGACGAGGAGTGAGGTGGATTGCGGCACAAGGAAATATATTTTTTTCCCCTCCAACGTTTTTTTTTTTTTTTTTTTTTTCTTAATTTCGATACGATAAAAGATAATCAAATGGATAATAAACGGAAATAGATTTCTTCTCTCTCTGTTTCTTTTTTCTTTTCTTTTTTTTTTCTTTTTTTTTTTTTTTTTTTCTCTTCTTTTGTCTTTCATCTGTGTTGCAGATCTTTTTCACTTGAATTTCAATTTGAGAATCCTTAATGACCTTGGAAATGAGATGCAGCTTAGCTTAGCAGTTTTAAGAGTTAGGTGATATGTCTGGGTTTTGTATCAAATTGGATCTCAACTTCTAACCTCAAAATGAAATCTATTTCTAATTTAAACTGTCACCTCATAAAGTTGTCTTTTTAAATGTTGTTATTATTGTTCATTATGTTACTGTTATCATTACTACTACTATCATTATTATTATTATTATTATTGTTGTTATTGTTATTGTCATTATTATTGTTACTGTTATTTTTTTATTGTTATTTTTATTACTATTGTTGTCATCATGATCATTATCGTCAATGTTATCATCACTATTGTTTTTCATTCATTCATCCATTCCTTCTGAGTAGTTCTGTAGCTTTCATTCAAGATGAAACTCTTTCCAGGTCAAAAGACTTGGATGAGAGGCGCAGGTACATCCGGCTGGTGGATGACGTCAAAGACAACGGAGGCGACGTCAAAATTTTCTCCAGCTTACATGTGTCAGGGGAACGTAAGTGACTATCGTTTAATTTACACAGTGTGTTGTGTGTGCATGTTTATGATCAGCTGTATCGTGTCTGCTTATATTCATATATGTACTGTATAGGCTACGTATGTATAAGTGATATATTGGTTAGTGCTTCAACAGGTACAGATAGTCCCCTACTTAAGAACATTCCATACATACAAACAAAATTTTTTAAGTGCTAAAGTCCAAAAAATTGTTTGAAAGATGCTAGCAAACTTCAAATTTCCCGGGCACAAATATAGTTCAAGAGTGTGGTACTGTGTAAGGTACTTATTGGGATTTATTTACAGGTATTCTTAATGTAAACAAAACTCTAAAACAATGGGAAAAAAGTTAATGGAGACCCGACTTTCGGCATACAAACAAATCAACTTACAAACAGCCTCTCGGTCCTCATTATGTTCTGAAGTTGGGGACTTACTGTATTGGGTAAAGGAATGTCTTCCCTCATTATTCTGCTCGTTAATGCAAATGATTCAGTCCCAGGCTCTTGTTCCAGAACTAGACCAGATGAGCGGTGTGGCTGCCATCCTCCGTTTCCCAATGCCCGAAATCGAGGAAGAGGACCAAGCGGAAGAGTCAGACGAGGAGTGAGGTGGATTGCGGCACAAGGAAATATATTTTTTTCCCCTCCAACGTTTTTTTTTTTTTTTTTTTTTCTTAATTTCGATACGATAAAAGATAATCAAATGGATAATAAACGGAAATAGATTTCTTCTCACTCTGTTTCTTTTTTCTCTTTTCTTTTTTTTTTCTTTTTTTTATTATTTTTTTTTTTACAAATTCTTATATTCTTATACGTTTTTACTTTGTTCTTTATTGTTTTCTTCCTTTATTTTCTCTTAAATGTATCAATAATTTTTCTCAGTACAGCGAGTTACATTTTTTTATTTGTGTGTTTTTTTTTGTTTTTTGTCTAAATGACGTTTACTTCTGTTACAAGCTCTAATGTGTATTTACCAAATTATAGCATCCACTCTTGATCTTTAAATGCTTGAATTATAGTTAAAAAGAGAACAGTAAACCAAAGTATTAGTTTGCACTTCGCCACTTTAAAAAGTCCATAAAATCACATAGTTTTCGACACTTAACTTTTTTCCTTTTTTTTTTTTTTCTTATTAATCGCACCATTGTGATAGTCTCTAGTTGAAGATGAGTGGGTTGTGATCTTGTTATCATTTCTTGCTTATGTCCGGTGAAAGGCATTGATGTTTGATCCGTTGTGATAGCTCCGCGTTTGTCCTTGTGGAAGTCGGAATTCCTTTCCCACCCACCCAACCCCCATGTGGTAGGAATTCATGACTCATTTCTACATGTTGAGACTGAATGCGAGGCTAAGCTATGAGACTGAGGCATGTGCGAGTGTGCGTGCATCTTGCGGATGAGTAAAAGGACCCTCCTTCACTCGGTGTTGATGTTGCAATTGCTTCAAAGGCTAAACGATGAATTAATAATGCCTTAACGTCATCTGTAAACTACTCAGATATGATCACATACAAATATGATCATGTATCAATAGTTCAGTTGTGAAAGGGTAAATATTTTAAGATAGTACATAGGATCTGTTCTTTCTACATTTATGATCCTGTTATGTACTTTCCATTTATTGTTATGCAAAAAAAAAAAAAAAATGTATGTTTGTACCTTTGTTGAGGTATGTATATGTTGGTGGTTTTAACACATTGTGGCAATGGATATTTACTTCATAAATATACAAGGCAATCAGGATTAGTTGCAATGTTTTATTTTTCTTTTCTTTTTTTTTTTACAATTTGTAAATTGATGTCTGTGACCCTTTTATTTCATAAATACCAAATGATCTTCAATTTGTTGGAAGATAATATTACTATTATTATATTTATATTAAAGAAGGACTTTGTAAGAAGGAATAAACATTTAGTCAATAACTAATCGTCATATTACCCCTGATACTGGGAATGCATCTTTCTGACTGTTCTGTATCAGAATAGCAAATAGTTATTCTAGACAGTTTGATGAATCTAACTGTAGTTGACACATTGAAGCTTAAATAGATAGCAAAAAAATAAAATTGTGCCTTTCATTATCCAGGTCATGATGTTGGGAATAGCTCCTGTTTTTTAAATGTACAAACCTCATTCCCAGCAGCAGTGAACATGTCTACATTTTGTTAACCTGCTTACTGCTTCCATAGTAAGGTGGAAATATGTTCAAAAGTTTGACATAAATATACATATTTCCTTAAAAATGACTGACAAGACTCAAAGACTGTATCTAATAATGCTAGTTTGGTATACTAGCAGGGTGAAGGCTTGTAGACCATACTGCTACTGTAAGCCAAAGAGTAAATAGATACCCAGAGTTGATGACAGCAGCTACTTGACAACTGCTAGAGGTAGACATTACAAGACATTATCTATACAATTTAAAAGCCACTCATATACATTGGTTTTGTTTGTTTATTTGCAACTGTTCATTGCTTTTGAGAACTAGTGTTTCCATTCTTAGAAAAAATAGAAGCATCTGATATGCAGAGTAGATGCAGCTATTGAATAATTATAATTAGCACCAACTTTTCAGATATGACAACACTGATGTACTTAACCTTTTCCTGACAGGCATGGCATGTACCTACATGCCATGCCCACTGTGAGTTTATGTGCTTGATTGTTTTTACATAGATGGCTGCACTTGTACTAAATCACCAATGAGCCAATTATGAGTACTGCCTGTCTCGCCCATTTACCCTTTTCTTTGATTTACGAAAATATTTTACGCTATCTTATTTTGCTATTTATGTTTAACATTATAATTATAATGTTTATAATAAAAATAACACCATCAATATTCATAGCTAGTAGAAAGTACATTTTCCTGCCAATTCAAGAAAAGGTGAAATCAAGGAAGGCAGAACCATCTACGTGTAGAGACATTTTACAAAAAAAATATAAAAAATGAGTACAGCATTTTCCCAATTTTTTTTTTTTTTTTTACAATTTGTAAATTGATGTCTGTGACCCTTTTATTTCATAAATACCAAATGATCTTCAATTTGTTGGAAGATAATATTACTATTATTATATTTATATTAAAGAAGGACTTTGTAAGAAGGAATAAACATTTAGTCAATAACTAATCGTCATATTACCCCTGATACTGGGAATGCATCTTTCTGACTGTTCTGTATCAGAATAGCAAATAGTTATTCTAGACAGTTTGATGAATCTAACTGTAGTTGACACATTGAAGCTTAAATAGATAGCAAAAAAATAAAATTGTGCCTTTCATTATCCAGGTCATGATGTTGGGAATAGCTACTGTTTTTTAAATGTACAAACCTCATTCCCAGCAGCAATGAACATGTCTACATTTTGTTAACCTGCTTACTGCTTCCATAGTAAGGTGGAAATATGTTCAAAAGTTTGACATAAATATACATATTTCCTTAAAAATGACTGACAAGACTCAAAGACTGTATCTAATAATGCTAGTTTGGTATACTAGCAGGGTGAAGGCTTGTAGACCATACTGCTACTGTAAGCCAAAGAGTAAATAGATACCCAGAGTTGATGACAGCAGCTACTTGACAACTGCTAGAGGTAGACATTACAAGACATTATCTATACAATTTAAAAGCCACTCATATACATTGGTTTTGTTTGTTTATTTGCAACTGTTCATTGCTTTTGAGAACTAGTGTTTCCATTCTTAGAAAAAATAGAAGCATCTGATATGCAGAGTAGATGCAGCTATTGAATAATTATAATTAGCACCAACTTTTCAGATATGACAACACTGATGTACTTAACCTTTTCCTGACAGGCATGGCATGTACCTACATGCCATGCCCACTGTGAGTTTATGTGCTTGATTGTTTTTACATAGATGGCTGCACTTGTACTAAATCACCAATGAGCCAATTATGAGTACTGCCTGTCTCGCCCATTTACCCTTTTCTTTGATTTACGAAAATATTTTACGCTATCTTATTTTGCTATTTATGTTTAACATTATAATTATAATGTTTATAATAAAAATAACACCATCAATATTCATAGCTAGTAGAAAGTACATTTTCCTGCCAATTCAAGAAAAGGTGAAATCAAGGAAGGCAGAACCATCTACGTGTAGAGACATTTTACAAAAAAATATAAAAAATGAGTACAGCATTTTCCCAATTTTTTTTTTCATTTTCCCCATGGGCAATGGGTTAAATGAACTCCGACTTGAATTTTTTAAGGCATGTTCCTAGTGTTTTTTTAGTTTATTCTTTATATTCTTACACTATATTCTCAACAAATAAAATTATTGTGTAGTCTGCTAAGAGAATTTTAGCATCATGAAAAACAGGTCTTTTCTCACACTAAAATATATGTGAAGTAAAAATTTCATGAGGTTCAAATGAAATGCATGGTATTTTCATCTTTTTATTACAGAAGTGCTCATAATCTTATATAATATGATATCACAAGCATTTGTAGTCTGTACAGTTAAACAAAATTTACATATTATGACAATTATTATCACCTCCAGCAGTGCATAATATCACGTCTTTTCTGCACAATAATATACTTTAATCTAACCTGAGCAGAGGCGTCCCAGTTGTACGACGAGAATAAACCGCCATTCAAGTACATTTGGGGCATCTTTATTTTGAAATCAGCACAAGTCTTTGGTTTCACAGTAGGATACAAAACGGTTATGCTTGCTAAACTTTAGAAAGCTGTAAGCAGATACTTTGGACTAGAAATTATCCACTTGAGGTGGTTCTGTTTTGATATTCTGTGGCTCTATGATAATAGTGTCTGCCTGATATTGAGCCTGTTCGTGAGTTGTACCATCTTCCTTAACATATTGTTCATACTGCTCTATGGGTTGATAGTAGTACACTTCGGTGATAGTTCCGTCCTCCCGCTGTATGATTTCGTGAACCTGGTGATGCTCTAGCACCTGGCCTTGTTGCTGTTCCTCGTAAAATGTTGGTTGTACGCCTTCTAACACCATCTGCTGATCCTGAAGTAAATATTAAATCAATGATTACAAATTGCTCATGCAACTTCCAAAACTTTAATCTACAATAACAAATTTCAAGCATCTTCCCATAGAGGAAACAGAAACTTGTTGAAGGGGATGCAATTAACACCCATACAACACAAACTGAAACGAAAAACAAAAAGGTGGAGAAGAAGCAAACTAAAAAATAAAATAAAATAAAAAATAAATCCAATAAAACAGTTACCCCAGAATGTAGCTGCTGGTTCTCCAATTTGAGGTGGTACGTGGCGGCCTCCAATTCTGTCTGGTGCTCCATCTGCCTGCGCCTTCTCCCTCTCTTGGCTTTGGGTTCCCCTTCAGCAGGAAGAGCAGCCACCAGCTGACTTTCACATAGTAGCCGCTTGCCCTTCTCTGCCTCCTGTTCTGGTTTACTAAAAGCCAAGACAGAAAAAGGATTTAAAATAACTGGTGCCATTGGGTTCAGCAGTCTTTGCAAATGATGATAAAAAAATGAACAAAAAATAAAGCAGATTTCATATTTATGCTTGCTAAATTACAGTATATCAACCCTGCACACACATCAGTCTCACTCCAAGTGCTCTGTACCTCGTGATGAGACTCAACACTTGCAACACTTTCCCATGGCAAGATATCTTGTCTTCTGTCCCTTTGGCCAAATTTTTCCCATGACAAGGTGTTCCCCTCACTAACCCCTTGGCCAAATTATTTCATTAAAGGATGTCCTTAACAGCTGAATCCAACAATTTAATTAAGGTAGCTACTTTGAAGGAAATATTGCATATAAAAGTAATAGTAATATAGCCCACCCCTTGACCAAATTATTTCATTACAGGATGTCCATATTAGTTGAATTCATTGGTTTAACCCCTTGGTGCCGGGTGACGCCGATTGGCGTGCAAACAAACCGCTCGAAAGCTGGCGTGCGGCGGCGCGCCTAAGTGCAGCGAGCCAGTGATTCGGGCTAATGTCCCCTACTCACGCGCTCAAAGTCGGAGCGCCGCCTTTGTTTGCTAGAGTGTGGAGTTTTTTTTTTTTGTTTTGTACACCTGGCGTCATTGGGTTAATTAAGGTGGCTACTTTGAAGGAAGTATTACATATAAAAGTAATAGTGATATTTATAATATAATCATTTAAGTAAAAAGGATAATAATAATAAAGAGGAAATAACTATCAGAACAAATGTTACAAAAAATTTCAATATATTTATCAGCACTTACCTAAACTGAACCTGCTGAACAGGAACTGTATTCCTAACAGCATTGTATATGTTTCGTAACTGTTCCTCCAGCTGATTAAGATATTCTTCACTATCTGTTTGCACGACTAGTTCTGTGATTTCCCGCACTAGCGCCGCACAACGGTACTGCAGGATACTCTTCCCTTCCAAACGCATTTCTTGCTTGACCTGTTGGGGAAAGGCAGTTTAAAGCAATGTAAAATGTGTAAAATGATACTTTCAATGCTTCACCCATTGCCGCCAGGGAAAATGAACAAAAAATGGGGAAAATGCTGTACAGATAGTCCCCTACTTAACCCATTGCTGCCGGGGATGGCATGTACGTACATGCCATGCCCACTGTGAGTCGACTTGTTCGATTGTTTTTACACATAGATGGCTACACTTGTACTAAGTATCCAATGAGCCAATTACGAATACTGCCTGTCTTGCCTGTTCACCCGTTTCATCGATTTACGAAAATATTTAACGTTATCCTAATTTGCTGTTAAAAATAACACCATCTATATTTATAGCACTAGTAAAAATACGTTTTTTCCCGCCAATTCAAGGAAAGGTGAAATCAGGACTAGCAGAGCCATCTATGGACAGAGATATTTCACAAAAATATAAAAAAATGAGTACTGCATTTCCCCCATTTTTGGTTCATTTTCCCCAGCGGCAATGGGTTAAGAACATTCTACTTATGAACATTCCATACGTACAAACAAAATTTTTTAAGTACTAAAGTCCAAAAAATTGTTTGAAAGACGCTAGCAAACTTCAAATTTCCCGAGCACGAATATAGTTCAAGAGTCTGGTACTGTATAAGGTATGTCATACTTATTGGGATTTATTTACAGGTATTCTTAATGTAAACAAAACTTTAAAACAATGGGAAAAAAGGTAATGGAGACCCAATTTTCAACATACAAACAAATCAACTTACAGCCTCTCGGTCCCCATTATGTTCTTAAGTTTGGGACTTACTATACTCATTTTTTATATTTTTGTGAAATATATGTACATAGATGGCTCTGCTAGTCCTGATTTCACCTTTCCTTGAATTGGTGGGAAAAAACGTATTCTTTCTAGTTCTATAAATATAGATGGTGTTATTTTTAACAGCAAATTAGGATAACATTTTTTACACATAGATAGCCATCTATGTGTAAAAACAATCAAACAAGTCGACTCACAATGGGCATGGCATGTACGTACATGCCATGCCCATTGTGAGTCGACTCGTTTGATTGTTTTTCCACATAGATGGCTACACTTGTACTAAGTCACCAGTGAGCCACTTACGAATACTGCCTGTCTCGCCCGTTCACCCTTTTCATCGATTTACGAAAATATTTAACGTTATCCTAATTTGCTGTTAAAAATAACACCATCTATATTTATAGCACTAGTAAAAATACGTTTTTTCCCGCCAATTCAAGGAAAGGTGAAATCAGGACTAGCAGAGCCATCTATGGACAGAGATATTTCACAAAAATATAAAAAAATGAGTACTGCATTTCCCCCATTTTTGGTTCATTTTCCCCAGCGGCAATGGGTTAAGAACATTCTACTTATGAACATTCCATACGTACAAACAAAATTTTTTAAGTACTAAAGTCCAAAAAATTGTTTGAAAGATGCTAGCAAACTTCAAATTTCCTGGGCACGAATATAGTTCAAGAGTCTGGTACTGTATAAGGTATGTCATACTTATTGGGATTTATTTACAGGTATTCTTAATGTAAACAAAACTTTAAAACAATGGGAAAAAAGGTAATGGAGACCCAATTTTCAACATACAAACAAATCAACTTACAGCCTCTCGGTCCCCATTATGTTCTTAAGTTGGGGACTTACTATACTAATTTTTTATATTTTTGTGAAATATCTCTGTACATAGATGGCTCTGCTAGTCCTGATTTCACCTTTCCTTGAATTGGCGGGAAAAAACGTATTCTTACTAGTGCTATAAATATAGATGGTGTTATTTTTAACAGCAAATTAGGATAACATTTTTTACACATAGATGGCTACACTTGTACTAAGTATCCAATGAGCCAATTACGAATACTGCCTGTCTTGCCTGTTCACCCGTTTCATCGATTTACGAAAATATTTAACGTTATCCTAATTTGCTGTTAAAAATAACACCATCTATATTTATAGCACTAGTAAAAATACGTTTTTTCCCGCCAATTCAAGGAAAGGTGAAATCAGGAGATATTTCACAAAAAGAAGATAAAAAAAAAGAAGACATAAAAAGAAGAAAAAAAGAAAAAGAAAACAAGAATCTACTGCTAAATCAATGTTTCAACATACTGTCAAATCTACACAACCCTACCTAAAATAAAACTGAGTCTTAATCTATTGCAGAAAAACCTATCTCAAAATCAAGTTATTTTCAAGGATCATATTTTCCTTGTAAGCCTCCCCTCTGCTCTCGCACAAACCACTTACCAGGCCGATAACTGGATGCCCCTCGTGTGCAGAAGGATCAGGCAGCCTGACATAATACCACGACTCCCTCACAAATCGGTTCGAGTACCGCTTGAAACTGTTGATGATCTTCTTCTTGGCTAGCTTCCTCATGTGGTCTGTGGGTAGGGAGTTGATGGCCAAGAGTGCATTTGGAACCTGCAAAAAACAGGGAAAGTGGTAACCTGATGCAACTTTTTTTTGTGGTGAATAGCTGTGTTCTGTTACTCCGACCAAAGGCATACTCTATAATCATATGTTTTATCTAATGGATACAGATAATTTAGCTCTTGCCAAAAGTTAATACTCCAAAATCCCAACGCTAACACAACTAAATGGGATGAAGGAAAACCGTACGCACCTTATGCTGTGGGAACTTCATTATATGGTTCACGTATATTTCTGCCGGACAGTTCACCTTCTTTGTAATCTGAGTGCGGTTTCTACTCTTTGGTGTCACTCCACTCTCCTGTAGGATAATGGGGAGAACAGTTATAAGTTACATGATACTGAAAATGCTGTACAACTTTAAAAAATAATAACAATAACAGCAACAAATTTCTCAATAATAATAACAACTGTCAAGATCATACTAATAAATATGATACACAAAATGAAGGAAAGCTTATAACAAAATTCTAAAAACTTGCCTGCTGCTCTATATGTTTGCGTATCTGGTACTTCTCCTTGTGCCGTTTATTGGTGTCTTGGCCCTGGTGGCACATGAGCACCCACCTGCCCACGTGCATGAAGGGCACCCCGTCATACTCGATGGGGACGCCACACTTGCCCGTGTGTGACCAGTAGTGGATGCGGCCCTTCTCGATGTTTGGCATGTATTCTTTGGACGGCAGAGGATTGTGAAAGAGAGGTTACTGATATGATACTGAAATTCAACTTTAATTTATTGTGGAGTAGGAGGGGGTGGGGGATTAGGAGGAGGAGGAGGAGGAGGAGGAGGAGGAGGAGGAGGAAGAAATAGAAGAAGAAAAAGTAGACTTCACATACATTTGTAGTAAATGCGATTTAGCAAGGAGAACCAACAGAAAATACTCTTCAGGGGTTTGTTATCCTTACAGTATTAATTCTAATCTCGGGCCCTAATATCCACACGGGTAATCCTTTAGAAGTATAGGTATTCGAGTTCCATTGTCCAGACCACTCCCTTTTTTGAGTTGGGATTTCCAGGTGTGGCAAATTTTGGTTCTAATATGGGTTTGATTCTGGGAAATGCTATATGGGTATCTAATGGAGTTCTTATTCCCAAAAATGTTGAACTATTATTGTTAATGATAATGGCAGCAACAGTGAAGCTGTTACTTTATATATCATACATAATAAAAATATTTTCTAACAGCATTATTATAAATCAATTTCAAACATTCCAAAAATAACATTTCCCATTCTGTGATCAGAAATCAAATTGATGCAAATTACATTTTATATTACCTAGCACTAATAATGCTATATCTTTTATCAATTAAGATTCAGTTATCAAATAATATATCCATTGACAGAACCTTAATGGCTACTACATTTAAAAAGAAAGATACATAACAAATTCATGCCTTGTCACTATCATCAATATTCGTACAGTTAATAGAGTTTATCTTTGTATTTCTTGCTTTAACACCAGCGGTCTGCCAATTACAATACCACACAATAATCAGGTGAATTCTATTAATCTTTATATCCAATAATAATCTTCATGTAATCTTGAGGTGATAAATAAAAATTATTAAGATTACAATAGTATTGAGATATAGAAAACTTAACGCAAAAGTAATTACAAATACATCAATGCCATTAGGTATAAAAAACAATTTGCGCACAGTAAGAGACAGCCCAAAAACACTTATCTGAGTCCATGGGTTTTTTTCTCAAACAAATAAGATAACTCGCACACTGAATGCTGAGTTTGTCCTGCACTCTATCCTGCATATATTGCAATTGGGACCAAGATTGTGGATAATAGGGGTGTTTCATGGCATAATTTCTATATATGTGGGTACTAGTGGCTTAAAGGAATCCACTGATATGACTATCGTTGTCACAAGTCATGTGCAGGTATTCTGAATATTTATATGAAGCGTAAAGGCCATAGCATTGCTTGAAACAGTCCTTGACTTAATAACAGCCTCATAAACAGAGAAACAAATCAAGGGTTTTTAGGAAACTGGACATAACTAACAAATTACTATTATAAAAAAATGCAAGAATATCAATAACAAGGATCAGTTATAATGAATGAAATACTGTAAATCTGAATGAATGTATCATGTTGCCAACACTGTCGATACTTGTACTGATAAACGGCATATGCTATACTGACCAATTGCAAAACTTCTAGTTGACACTTTCCCACCATAATGACAATACTGGCAACGAGAGTGGCCAAGTGTCAAACGTTTGCCACATCTTCCAAGCTTACTGGGACTCCAAGAAAGGCCAACAAGCCTCCATTACGCACGTTCCAGCATCACAGAACTCGTCCCGCTCCCTGACGACTAACCATTAAACAGGGAAAAGGACCAATTTCAGTGTTGCAGTGATGTGTGTAATGAAGGTTTAATGGCTTATAGAAATGCAAGAGACGCAACAACCACTTGACACTCCGCCACTATCAATAGACTCCAGACTATAGGCTTACCGCCTTATGACTCGGCAAGTAGGCCTACCATATGCAAATAAAAAAAAGGGAGAAAGATCCAATATAATTACAAGAAAAAAAAAAAAAGGTATTTCTTACCGAGAGCGACACACCCTCCAGAGACAAAGTCCTACATCCAGGATAACATGCGAACCCAAAATCCAAACCTATCCTTTTCTACCTTCTATTTACTTCCTAGACAGAGTGAACCCCCCCCTGTACCCCCCTTTATTAACACTTTGCGAACTTAAAGAAAACGCGACATTAAGAACTGTGGCTGAGAAGTTGTTGTGGCCTTAGTCTCTGAGAGGCGACACGCAGAGGGTATTTTTTGTAATTTCCCGGTAAATATGAGGTCGGTGCAGATACATCTGTAGCTTCATACTTTATTTTTTATGCTTTGTAAGATGGCAGTATCCATTTCCCTCTATCTCAGTGCGTCGCTCTCGGTAACAGTAACCCAAAAGAAAAAACAAAAACCAAAACAACAAGAACGAAATGAGCAAAAAAACACCCAAGGAAAAAACAAAAAAACAAAACACCAACAAACAAACAAAAACAAAACAACACTTAAAAGAGAATCTCAGGCCCCTCCCCTCCACCCTCCCCCTCCCCCTCCACCTTTATATACCTTCATTGCCGAAGTTCTTGTCCCTGTTGTACTTGATGAAGTGCGTGACCGTCTGCTCCTGGTAGTCCTCGAGGCACGCGTACACCTCCTGCAGGGCCTTGAACTTGCGCACGTGGAAGGGCCGGAACACCCTGCCACTCCGCCTCTCCTGCTGCGCCTCCTTCGCGTACTCGTGCATCATGGCCCTGAGTCCTCTCTCTCTCTCTTTCTCTCTGTTTGTCTCTTTCTCTCTTTTTTCTCGCTCTCTCTCTCTCTCTTTCTGTCTGTCTGTCTGTCTCTCTCTCTCTCTTATTTGTCTCGAGCTCTTTTCTCTCTCTCTCTCTCTTCTGTGGCGTTGGGAGGAGGGAGAAAAGGGAGGAGGAGGAGGAGAAATATGGGAGAGGGAGAGGGATTTTTGAAGCCCAAAAGGAAGGGAATCGAGAGAGGGAGAATCGCCGGAACTCGACACGGGTTTAACGCCTCGGAGTCTCGATTGCAGGA